GCTCCTCAACAGTACTGCACCTGAATTTCCTGATTAAAAAAACAAGAAAAAAACCGCAAGCCAGCAATAGGTCAGGCAGTATCTATGGAAAGCATAGATGCAGCACAGGAACAGTTGGGCCCAACTAGCCCATAATCCCACCGGCCTGCGCTTGGCCCATATCCCTCCAAACATTTATTATTCTGTACTTACCCAAATCTCTTTTAAACATTATAACTGTACACACATCCATCACTTCCACACAAAAACCACTCTCTGTGTAAAAAAAAAATGCCCCTCATGTCTTTTTTAAATCTTTCTCCTCTCACCTTTATTGTATGCCTCCTAGTCTTGAGCTCTCCCACCCAGGGAAAAGACACCTGCCATTCACCTTATCTATACCCCTCATTATTTTAAAAACCTCTATATGGTCACCTCTCAACATCAATTTAAAAAATATTTGGACAGGTACATTGATGAGAAGGGTTTAGAGGGATATGGACCAAATGTGGGCAGTTGGAACTGGCTGAGAGGGCACCATGGTCAGCATGGACCAGTTTGGGCCGAAGGGCCTGTTTCCATGCTGTATTACTCTATGACTCTATCATAAGCTCCAGTGAAAAAATTCCCAGCTTCTCTCTATAACTCAAACCCTCCACTCTCAGCAACATCCTGGTAAATCTCTTCTGAACCCTCTCCAGCTTAATAATAGGACAACCAGAACTGGACGCAGTATTGCAGAAGAGGCCTCACCAATGTCCTGTACGACCTCAACATAATGTTTCTGAGCAATGGCTGTTGCCACTAAACATTTCTGATACTTGCGCCTTGCTGGTACAAAATAAATGGATAAAAAAATCAGGGAAGTCTGCCCTCGGATTTTCTCCATAGCATTGTGTTTAGCTTGGTGACAAATTGTTCTTTTATTGCAAAGCTATTTGCATTCTTTAGGAACAAGCTGAAAATTGCAAAAATTTTTGTTTCAGACATCTGTATTTGTGTGATGAAGGTGGTTGGTACAATTGCTGTGCTGTGAGTTAAAGGTTTGGTCTGTTTTATAAATCAATTGATCAGGAACATGTTATGATTTTGATGCTGATCACATGGAAGAAGTCTCCCTTCTTCATTATTTCTGTTTCTTTTACACTTAAATCTCTAATGTGCTGATAGTTTACTCAATTATAGAACAAAGGACTGTCCTGATTAAGTTCCTTCAGATTCTTTCCAAGTACAAGCCCTTATCTCTGTTAGTGGTACGTTTATATCTGATTTGCTGAGATACAGGTCACTTCTCATCAATATTTGGTGCTTCATTCATATTCCAGCTGAATGTGGTGACTGGAAGGTGTCCTGGAATTCTGGAACATGTCTCCCTTGTCCTGGAAAATAGGCAAGAGGTGCAGTCTGGCTGGGGTAGTGTTCTAGTGCCAGAAATGCACTGATTGCAATCTCCAGACAGGCTTGTAAATGTCACAGAATGTGGTTACCTGTTTTGGGAGGAAGGCTCTTTAAAATGGAGTACTGCATCACTGTAGGGGTATAGTTGGATATAGCATGCATCAAAAACACTCATAGAATCCCTACAGTGTGGAAGCAGGCTATTTGGCCCATCAAGTTCACACCAATCCTCTGAAGAGCATTCCCACCTAGACCCACCCTCCTACCCTAGCCTGCACATCCCTGAACACTCTGGGCAATTTAGCACGGCCAATGCTCCTAACCTGCACGTCTTTGGACAATGGGAGGAAACGGGTCCACCCGGAGGAAGCCCACACAGACACAGGGAGAACATGCAAACTCCACACAGACAAACCCGGGTCCCTGGAGTTGTGAGGCAACAGTGCTAAACATTGAGCCACCATGCGCCCAACCTCTCCCACTAATACCAGGAAAACTGATGAGCTTAAAGGGAGAATTATGGGCAAATCTACTGTGAGCCATGCCTAGCTCATGCATGGATGGACAGATCTTACAGCCCAAACCTGGTGTATAGCTCAGCTCAGGAATGGGACTGACAGAGATCCTGCCATCCCGCATCTGCTGAGTTGGAGTGGGGCCGTCAGTTGGCACCTAAAGCTCATGAGAATCTCAGCTGAGAACGAAAGAGGCCAGGGTTTGAAGAATCCGCCTTGACAGCCTAGTTGGTTACTCTTTCAGTACTTAGATTTCAAGGCAAACAGGCACAATCTGAGATAACAAGGTGTAGAGCTGGATGAACACAGCAGGCCAAGCAGCATCAGAGGAGCAGGAAAGCTGATGTTTCGGGTCAAGACCCTTCTTCAGAAATGGGGGAGGGGAAGGGGACTCTGAAATAAATAGGGAGAGAGGGGGAGGCGGATAGAAGATGGATAAAGGAGAAGATAGGTGGAGAGGAGACAGACAGGTCAAGGAGGTGGGAAAGGTTAGTGGGTAGGTGATGGGGGTGGGGCTTGAGGTGGGAGGAATGGTTAGGGAGGCGGGGACGACCTGGGCTGGTTTTGGGATGTGGTCGGGGGAGGGTAGATTTTGAAGCTTGTGAAGTCCACATTGATACCCTTGGTCTGCAGGGTTCCCAAGCGAAATATGAGGTGCTGTTCCTGCAACCTTCGGGTGGCATCATTGTGGCAATGCAGGAGGCCCAGGATGGACATGTCGTCCAAGGAGTGGGAGGGGGAGTTGAAATGGTTTGCAACTGGGAGATGCAGTTGTTTGTTGCGAACCGAGCGTAAGTGTTCCCCAAAGCGGTCCCCAAGCCTCCGCTTGGTTTCCCCGATGTGGAGGAGGCCACAACGGGAACAGCGGATACAGTATACCACATTAGCAGATGTGCAGGTGAACATCTCTCAGGCACAATCTGAGCTCCTTTTCATCATTCAAATCTTTGATGACCAACCAGACCAATTTGATGCTGGGATCAAGCGGTGGATAGGGATCTTGATTGGAGAAGCTTGATTCTTCAACTAATATGTGGAACTTTGTAGCTGGAAAGCCCTTCAGAATTCTTCAACAGGCTTTCTCATCTTGAGTTTCTGTTTTTAATCCTGTCTTTTACACAGGGAGATGCACTGGAGAACGGTGACTTTAAACACATTTCACTGTAGTCCTGTATGCCTGTACTCGAGTACACATGACAATAAAATCTAAATCTAACTGTAAAATCTCTTGTGAATGTAAATAAGAGGCAATTCTTATGTCTCTTTTTGAAGTGTTTAAACTGGTGAAATCATGTCTTAATGATGATGAGGACAAAAAAAAACAGGAAAGAATGGTTGAGAGAAATAAGATACAAGCTGTTAATTACCCAGTTGGATTTTGCACAGGGGGAGCGGGTTTCCTGTTTACTCTTCAATGGAGCTGGTTCGCAGGTCGAGCACTGATTAGACCAGAGCAATGCAATTATTCCTTCCTCTTTCAAATTCTCTTCTAACGGGTCATAAAAAGGTTAGAATTTAGATTGTTATTTAAAGTTAGATAACAAAACATGGAATTAATCTGAAAAGCTGAGAAACAGTTGCTAGGAACTTCCATCAGTAGAGGTTGAAGGGTTAACGTGTCTTTGCTCTTGGTAGACCCTCATTGCAAGCTGACACATTTCCTTGGTCAATGATAGTAAGGGGTGGGTAGAGTCATAGGAAAAAATGTCTTTTTTTTATTTCAAGCATATAATTTACTCATAAAAATATCTTCTATATATAATACATAGTCACAAACGCTCTTGGGTTCTGTACAGTAGCATATGAAGAAAACAATCTCTTATTTGTGTAAGATTATATTTTCATACATCTGAGGGTCCGATCATCCACCGAAAGTTGCAATGACTCTGTTAAAGTGAATGGAGCAGAGCATTGGGCAGGTTCTACTCGGATAGACAATCCATGAGTTCAGGTTACCAACCAGGCAGCAACATTAAAAATTACCTTCCAGAGGGAGATTGCAGAAATATGCGAAACATGTGGTGTCAAGAAGTAGGATCCAAACAAACCAGGACTGTGTCGGCAGTAATAACACAGTGTGGAGCTGGAGGAACACAGCAGGCCAGGCAGCATCAGATGAGCTGCCCATCTTCTCTCCCACCTATCTGCTCCTCCCATCCCACTGACCAATCCCCACCACTCCCTCCCTGCAATAACCTATCACCATCCCACCTACCTTCCCCAACACCACCCCCTCCTCGCTCTATTTATTTCAGAGCTCCCTTCCCCTTCCCCATTTCTGAAGAAGTGACCCGACCTGAAACGTCAAGTTTCCTGCTCCTCTGATGCTGCCTGGCCTGCTGTATTCCTCCAGCTCCACACTGTGTTATCTCTGACTCCAGCATTGGCAGTTCTTACTATCTCTGCAGAGGCAGTAAGATTTGATTTGATTTGTTGTAATCATTTGTACCTAAGTACAGTGAAAAGCTTTGTTTGTGAGCAGTACAGGCAAGCAAGGACGTACAGATCATCGGGTGCTTAGACAGAACGAGGCATACAGGTTACGGCTGCGTGGGAGGCGCGTGAAACAAGATCAATATTAACAGAATCAACATTATTTGAAGTTAGAGAGTTCCATTTATCAGTCTAATAATGGCAGGGAAGAAGCTGTTCTTGAACCTGTTGGTGCATGTGTTCAAGTTTCTTATCTTCTGCCTGATGGGAGAGGTTGCAGGAGAGCATTACTGGGGTGGGAGGGGCCTTTGATAATGTTGGCTGCCTTTCCATGGCAACACGAAGGATAAATTCAGTTCATGGATGGAAGGTTGGCTTCCTGTAGCTTCCACCTTCTGTAGTTTCTTACGGTCCTGGGCAGAGCAGTTGCTGTACCAGGCCATTATGCACCCGGACAGTGTGCTTTTCATTAAGAATCTGTAAAAGTTGGCGAGAATCCTTATGGACATGTCCTTATGAATATCTTTATTACAGGTCGATTTTATCCAAATAGTTGCAGTCCAATTAATGTTCTAGTTGAACCCCAGACTGAGCAGCTAGTGTTCAGGCCAATGACAATGCTTCAATCCTCTCTCATGGTGAACAATCCCCTGACTCATGTTTCATGAATTGCAGGAACGATTCCAAGTGAAGAATCCTCCGTTTGCTTACATCCAGAAACTAAGGGGATTCCTGGACCAGGGTGGGGTCAGGAAGGTAAGAACCACTTTATTTTCTTCAGGACACAGGCTGGATCAGTTAGGGGAGCAACTGCCTGCCTTGTCAAATGGAGTGTTGGTGTTCATTCACACAGATTGCTGCTGCACCAAACGGTGTCTCCAAAAACACATGAAAATGTTTGGAATTCTGTCTCTCGTACCCGGAAGTGACGTTCTTCAGATTATAGATCATCTGAGCACTAATATGAGCTTGTTGTCCAGTGTGGATACATTTAGTCAGGCTTCAGACTGGGGAAATGGACCTGCGGATGATGTAGTGGTTAAAACAAGTTGGAAAGTACCTCCGCTTTGCTGCATGCAGAGTCTTTTCATGCTCTGTCATTTATCCTGGAATAGGCGGGAGCAACTTTCAAAGCCCCCACACAAAAGGTGAACATGAATGAAACACACATCTGTTCCATTGTTTTTCCTTCCTGCTTCCCCTGTTCCCTGGCCTGAGGGTTTGCCTCACACTGATGCTGTGAGCCCTAGGAGATGTTCAGTGATCGTGAGGTGTTCATTTTGAACAGATTCCTAAGAGACAGCGGAAACAGGCCCTTTGGCCCTACTTGGCCGTGCTGACCAGCTCCTTTATGTTTTCCAGTGTAAAACAACAGAGGGAAACAATGCCCCTCCCCCACACCAAGTAGCTGTCAGCCAACATACTGTGAGTGAAAGAAGAAATCACCGGGCAGGAGAATGCGAGGAAGAGCTTACAATGAGAGTTTTCACAGGATGTGGGGACACACTGTCTTCCTCCCCTTGGGTTCTGACTATGTTTTGCAACTCCAGCCCCCAACACCCACCCCACAGACCAAGGGTTCACCCCTCTCTCCTGGACTTTGTACAAGCTGTGCCTGCATGATTCTGTAGTCAATCATCCGTTACCCTCCAATGTGGCTGCTGCTACAGACTCTGTTGTTCAGAGTGAATGATCTCTCACTACCTCACTCTCTGTACATGAAACACACATCCTGCAGTGTTTCAATAGGAGAGGTATCATTTCAGAGCACCCTACATCTGACCAAGGAATAACGTCCTATTCCAGATACACACCATGAAGAACCTTCTTGTTTCTCTTTTTCATGCTCACTGCTGCAGTTCAAGAGACGGGTGCAAGAATCAACCCAGGTCTTGCGAGAGCTAGAGATTTCATTGCGGACCAATCACATTGGGTGAGTGACGTCTACTGACATTTTAAAAAGCTGTGGGTTGTTTTTGGAAAAATCATAATTATTGAAATAAAACAACGAATGATAGTGTGCAGGCCTTTGTTTTTCAAAACCTGTCCTTGAATTGTGTTCCAGCCGCCATAAGGTAGAGGTGGAAGCCACTGAGTATGTTTGTGTTGTATCTGGTATTTCAGGTTTTCGTGATGCTAATGATGATAACCTTTGACCTTTCTCCCAAGAAGGTCAATCTGTTTTATTTCAGAGGATGTGGTCAGTACTTAGTTGTCCATCCCAAATTATTCTTGGCAAGGTGGTAGTGAGCTGCCTTCTTCAACTTCTGCAATCCATAGAGGTGTGGGTGGACCCCACGTTGCTTTTAGGAAAGGGTTTTTGACCCAGAGACAGTGAAGGAACTGCAATGTGGTTGCAAGTCAGGATGGGATACAACTTGGAAGGAGAACCTGCACATACTCTTATGCATCATAAGAACCAGGATCAGGAGTAGGCCATCTGGCCCCTCAAACCTGCTCCACCATTCAATAAGATTATGGCTGATCTTTTCATGGACTCAGCTCCACTTACCTGCCTCCTCACTATAATCCTTTGCTGTTCAAAACTCTACCTTTGCCTTAAAAACATTCAATGAGGTAGCCTCAACTGCTTCACTGGGCAGGGAATTCCACAGATTCACAACTTTTTGGATGAAAAAGTTCTTCTTCAACTCACTCCTAAATCTGCTCCCCCTTCTTTTGAGACTATGTCCCCGAATTCTAGTTTTACCCGCCAGTGGAAATAATGTACCATCATGTACCCTTGTCTTTCTAGATCATACGGGTCAAGGATTTGGGAGGTATCATAGTGAGTGGCTGCAGTACGTCTTGCACACTGCTGCGACTGAAGTGAGATGTTATCTTTCAGCATCAGGTCTATAACATCATAGAATCCCTACAGTGCAAAAAGAGGCCATTTGGTCCATGATGTCCGCTCCAACCCTCCAAAGAGCATCCCACCCAGACACAGCCAACCACCCTTTCCCTGCAACCCCGCATTTCCCATGGCTAATCCACCTCGCCTGCATATCCCTGAACACCATGGACAATTTACCATGACCAATCCCCCTAACTTGCACACCTTTAGACTATGGGAGAAAACCAGTGCACCCACAGATACAGGGCAAACGACCGTACACAGACAGACACCCAAGGCTGGAATTGCACCCGGGTCCCTGGTGCTGTGAGGCAGCAGTGCTAACCATGTGCCAGGTTACCTCAGAATATAGATTCCACCACTTCCTGCATGCCAATTGAGCACCCCACCATCTGACCCAACCCCTCCACGTCAACATCTGACAATCAGCGTCTTCAGCGTAGCACTTCCTCTTCACTGCACGACATATATTTGTATCTATATTACAGAATGCCAAGCATACAAATCCACCACGGATGTCAAAAATATTGGAGAATATTCTATAAAAACCGAAAGAACTGCGGATGCTGTAAATCAGGAACAAAAACAAAGTCGCTGGAAAAACTCAGCAGATCTAGCAGTTCTCTGAAGGAGAAAACAGAGTTAATATTTCAGGTCCGGTGACCCTTCCTCAGAACATTCTGAGGAAGGGTCACCAGACCCGAAATGTTAACTCTGTTTTCTCCTTCACAGATGCTGCCAGACCTGCTGAGCTTTTCCAGCGACTTTGTTTTTGTTGGAGAATATTCAGTTACTTCAAACAGTGAAGGGAATTGACAACGATGAAAGACTGAGGAAAATCAAACAGGAGTAGTGTTAAGCTGGGAATGTCACAGGTGTAAACAAACTAAGAAGAAAAACTGAGCAATTTTCAGTTGTGCCCCAATTCCTACCAGTAGACACCAACACCCTTCCTCAAAAATAAATGCTGAACTGCTTTCAGGAATTTATGATAAATATGGCCGAAGAACAAAACTCTCAATGTAGTGACTTATAATAAGTGGTTTGTCAATACTCAGGAATTAACAGGACTGTATTAACCTGCAGAGTTTGCAAAGAACATCGAAAGTGTTGTAGTCTGCTGTAGTCATTGAGCATGTACTCAGTTTGAGAGACAATGAATGGTAATTGGAATCACACTGTCAATCTCTGAGTTCATTGTTACTGCTAAACTAGAACAAAGAACTGTCGATGCTACAGATCTGAAACAAAAACAGAAATTTCTGGAGAAACTCAGCTGGTCTGCCAGCGGCTGTGGAGAGAAAGCAATGTCAACGTTTCAAGTCCAGTGACCCTTCTTCAGAAGAAGGGATTGAAATAATAATTCTGCTTTCTCTCCATAGATGCTGCCAGACCTGTTGAGTTTCTGCAGCAATTTCTGTTTTTGTCTCATTGTCAACTCGATGCCTGTACGTGTGGATGACTGTCCCTTTGAGAGAATGGGAGGGGCCCTCTTATGGAGCAGTGGTAATGTCCCTAGCCCTGGACTGAGTGGCCTGGGTTCAAATCCCAAATTCTCCAGATGTGTGTAACAACATCTCTGAACAGGTTGATTAGAAAAAAAGGTAGGTTAAATAACAAGAAAGAATGAGAAAGAACTCCCCCTCACTGTTGATAGTTTGCAGTGCCCTGAGCAGGAGGCGATGGCCTAGTGGTGTTATTGCTGGACTGTTAATCTAGAAACCCCAGTAGTGTTCTGGGGACACAGGTTCAAATCATGTTATGGCAGATGGTGGAATTTTAATTCAATTTAAGAAAACTCTGAAATTAAAAAGTCTTTTGATGACCATGAATCCGTTGTTGATTGTCAGGAAAAACCCATCTGGTTCACTCATGTCCTTTTGGAAAGGAAACTGCCATCCTTACTTGGTCTGGCCCACATGTGACTCCAGACCCACAGCAATGTGGTTGACTCTTAATTGCCCTCTGGGCAATATGGAGGGGCAATAAATGCTGCCTAGCCAGTGATGCCCTCATCCCATGAATGAATAAAAAACATGTAAATATTGGATTGACTACATGGGTGTTTTACTGATGGTCGTTACTAGTTATAAAAAAAAGTCACGGTGATTTTGATGGTAGGAAGGTTATTAAGTTGTGCGTTATAGCGCTTTGGAGCATAGAAAGAAAAGATAAAGAAGGGAAAGAACTTAAAATGAGACATTGTTAATTCTGTCATTCCTACAGATGAGCCCATTGTATAGTTATGTTCTCCTTTTGGCCATGGTTAATACAGACATGGGGACATTGGTGGACGCAGTTTGCAACTGATTGTGACCAGCAGTCTGTTCACTTTTTTTCTGGGGTACTTGAATCCAGGCCTCCCAGTCCAAGGGTAGGGACACTATCACTGCACCAACTGGGCCCAGCAGTAATGCTTATTTTTGTCCTATATTTTCCCCCAAATCACTTGTAATATATATTTTTTCAGTCTGCTTGCATCCATTGGTATTAAGAATAGCTATAAGCTGAGGAACTGCAGTGTTAGCACCTATACAAATGGATCTCAGAGGCTGACTGGGCATCTGCAAAGGTGCTGACACTGTAAGTAGTGCAGTGAGGCAACGGTTCTTAAAATACACACTATGATGCACAAAGGGAAAAACCCCAAGGCAAAAGGAAAAGGCAAATTATGAAAGGGTGCATGCAGAGAATAGAAACAAAAAGAGAAAGATTTGCATGTAGGTAGCACTTTTCACCGCCATCAGCTGTTTCAGAGCACTTTACACCCCTTTAACTGTTCAAAATAATGTCTCCATTGTAATGTATGGAGCATTTGCAGACAAAGTGTGCACAGCAAGCTCCCACAAACTGAGTTGTAAATGACCAGATCATGTGTATTGCAGTGTTGACTGAGGGATAAACGATCTGGGGGCTAACCATCATACTCTTCTCTGGACCTTTTACATCCATCAAGCAGGCACATAGGCCTCAGTTTGCTTTCTCATCCAAACAAAAAAACTGTAACTGCAGCAATGCAGCACTCCTTCAGTGCTGCCCTGGAGTGTCAGCCTTAATTCATGTGCTCAAGCCCTGAAGTGAGATTTGAATTGGGACACCCAGAGGCATAGCTCCCTCGAAGGTTAATACTACAGGGGTGGAACAGTAGCTCAATTGTTAGCAATGCTGCCTCGCAGCGCCAGGGACCCAGGTTCAATTCCATCCTTAAGTGAACTGTCTGTGTGGAGTTTTCATGTTCTCCCTGTGTCTGCATGAGTTTCCACTGGGTGCTCCAGTTTCCTCCCACAGCCAAAGATGTACAGGTCAGGTGGATTAGCCATGCTAAATTTCCCGTAGTGTACAGGGATATGCAGGCCAGGTGGATTAGCCAAGGGAAATGCAGGGTTACAGGGACAGGGTAGGGGTCTTGGTGGGATGCCCTTCAGAGGAGCGGTGTGGGCTTGATGGGCCGAATGGCCTGCTTCTACACTGTAGCATTCTATGATTTCTATCAAAGGCACAGGGAAGCACAAGTTGATATCGATGAATATAGTGACAAAATAGAACAAACATTACAAATGATGTTTTCTTCCTAAAGTTTAACAGGTGTCTTGACACTGCTTGAAGCTTGTCAGGCATTTTTCGTAGTGTCCTGGTCAAACAACCAACAACAACAAGAACATGCCACTGATCTCATTTGCTGTTTGTGGGATATTTGTGTGCAAATAGGCTTGTATGTTTGTTTCAATAACAGTGGTGAGTGTTGGGTGAAGTGCGTTGTGATGTGCTCCTAAATTACACTGTAAATATTCTTCATTATGTAGCTTGGCACCCACTCGAGTGAAGGGGGTGTTGCTGGTTGTGTTTGTGAAAGAATAAAATGGCTTATGAACCAAGTGGAATACAAAGCCATTGAGGATAGATCCAGAGCTTCAAAATCTGCGTCTACAAATATACCAGCAGTCCCTTAACCAAACTCTCTTCCCTACTCCCAACGCCCCGTTCCAACTTGTTTGGTATCTGCACCTTCATAAAAAATGTTGGTGCATATTACTGTTAAACTTAATGAGTTGTTGCTGCTGTGTGCCAGATTGTATTAGATTTGTGATGTGTAATCTGAACTATTTCTGAGAGGTGGATGGGCGCAATTAGCTGTACTAATTGGACTACAAGAACCTATAATTCCATAAAGCTGAATCTTTTGGCATTCAGATCCTAGGAATGCACAAGGAGCATCTTGGCTGAATCCAATATCATTTTTGATAACTTCTGGTTGAGGCACCATCCCAATGCACTCAAATCTGATTAACTGCTGATTTTTCCTTCTTCATAGTTGGGTGCAGGAGTTTTTGAATGAGGAGAACAAGGGATTGGACGTGTTGGTGGAGTACTTGTCCTTTGCACAGTGCGCTGTCACGTAAGTACACTGGGATCTTCACTGAGGGTTTCAATCCACAGTGTTATACTGTCTCTGAAAGTTAATTGCGTTTTGTTTTTGGAAATCATTTATTGTGTGGTGTAACGTCAACTTTAGTTCTTCCCCTTGGGTTGAAGGCAGGGCTGAGTCACTTACCGCTGTCACTGTGATAATGGTTTTAATTAGGAGAGCTGATCCGAAACATGGGAAACTAGTAATGAGAAGGAACTTTTGAATGGTTGGCCTCAAGTGTAGAGGTGTATTCAAGGGAAGTTTACTGAAATGAACTGAAAGATCAATTTGAAAAGTATTCAAACAAAGACATAATGAAGGAATAACTGGATCAGGAGTTGATCTCTGTAAACAGCGATGGGATTTTCAAAGGACCAATGGAGAGGAGAGATAGGACAAATGCTCTCCAACAAATAATAGGCCCTTTGTAGAGCTTGTTAAAGGGCCTGTGTGTTTCGAAAGCAATTTTCATTTATTTTTAAACAATTGTACATACATCAGCGCAAATATTTCTTTATGAAATAGTGCAGATGGTGGAGATCGACGAGTTGGAAGTTGAATGTTGCTAGGGTTTGGATGAACAGCCATATCAGACTCGAATATGTTAACCCGGTTTCTCTCTCCACAGATACTGCCAGACCTGCTGAGTTTCTCTAGCACTTCCTGTTTCATTTTAAAATTCCCTTAGTGGTTTGCTTTGGAACAAATCTGTAGGGTCACCTGATATCAGCGTGATGTCGGTCATTACCTTGTCACCCAGGGCCACTTTCTGCCTTGTTCCACCTCCACGGCCTTCGTAGGAACTCCCTGCTGTAACCAGCAAGTCAGTCACATCTCCTGAGCTGGCATACTCGTTAAATCAGCAATTCGTGCTGAGTGATACAGATCAGAGAATGATATCAAAACTCAGGCTTTGGGTTTCCCGTCCTGTCTAATCCAAGATGGCAGCTGGGCTTGTTGAACTACAACATTGCTTCCTGCTCCCAAATGTGATTTTTCCATTACAAATTTGTGCCTTTCCTTGTTAAATTGTGATTGTGTTCCTTCTTGTTTTCAGAGCTTCCAGACACATAGTCATAATGGTTGAGTGAGGATGTTTTATTCTCTGTTTTATTCATACATTCACAGAATGTGGGCATCACTGGCTGTGCCAGCGTTTAGTTACCCTTGAGAAGGTGGTAGTGAGCTATCTCTTGAACCGCTGCAGCGGATTTACTGTGGGTAGACTCACAATGTGTCAGGGAGGAGTTCCAAGATTTTACCCCAGCGACACTGAAAGAGCGTTGATATGTTTCCAAGTCAGGGTAGTGTGTGACTTGGAGGGGAAATTGCAGGTAGTGGTGTTCCCATAGATCTGCCCGTATCCTTTTGAATGGCACTGGTCATGGGTTTGGAGGGCATTGTCAAATGAGCCTTGGTGAACTTCTGCAGTGCATCTTGCAGATGGTACATATTGCTGCTGCTAAGTGTCAGTACTGGAGGGAGCAGATGTTTGTGAACATGGTGTTAATCAGTTGGGCAGCTTTGCCCTGCATGGTGTCAGACATCAAGTTGCCATCTCAGTGGTAAAGTTTGGTTCAAGTGTTTCCTGTGTACGGAGTCACAGACTTGACCCGATATCTCACTGCCTGGTGAAAGTGAGTGATGTACTTGTAAAACTGACATTGTGGCATGAAGACCTTTGTGCTAATCAATGTTTGCAGAGATTTTCACTGTGATAAGTTGTTCAAAATTTCATTCAATAACACACAGTTTCATTTGCATTGAGTGCTCAGTTTTGCTGAGGTAGTAACACTCTGATTCCGAGGTTACAGAACTGTAGGTATAGACCCTACATCTGAAATCAAGGCTGACACTTGCAAGCTGCTATTTTTCAGAGAAGATGTGACACTGATCTCCCATCTGTCTTTCAAATAGACATGTAAAGCGATGATGGGATGACTAGGGGTTGTATTTTAGCAGTGAGATCAAAGGGCCTCTATTTGAATCTGAGTTGTGATCTGAACATTGAAATGGATAGCCATAGTCATACAGTCATACAGCATGAAAACAGACCCTTCAGTCCAACCAGTCCATGCCGACCATAATCCCAAACTAAACTAGTCCCACCGGCGTGCGCATGGTCCATATCCCTCCAAACATTTCTGATTCATGTACTTATCCAAATGTCTTTTAAATGTTGTAACTGTACCCTCATCCACCACTTCCTCTGGTAGTTCATTCCACACATGAACCAATCCCTGTGTAAAAAAAAAATTGCCCTTCATGTCTTTTTTAAATCTTTCTCTTTTCACCTTATAAAGATATCCCCTAGTCTTGAAATCCCCCACCCTAGGGAAAAGACCTTGGCTATTCACTTTATCTATGACCCTCATGATTTTATAAACCTCCATAAGGTCACCCCTCAACCTCGTACACACCAGGCCTATCTAGTCTGTCCATACAACTCAAACCCTCCATTCCTGGCAACATCCTGGTAAATCTCTTCTGAACCCTCTCCAGCTTAATAATATCTTTGTTGTTTTTGTTCTTGGTTATTGGTTTTCTTGATCATCCATTTTGAAGAGATATCTCCAAAACCGTACATCAGGCAGTTCTCAGGAAATGTCCTGGCTACATTTTTAACCCACCTCCTTATCACTTGCCTGGCGAACCAATGTTCCGTTACTTGTTTGTAATTCAGTCCTAATATACCATTGTGGTGTACAAGCTGTGGCAAGGTGGGGAGATGGGACGATGGTAGTGGTGGTTTGTGGCAGTTGAAATGCAGAGATTTACATGAGCCTGATAACTGGTTTTATCCACAGTTCCACCAGGAATGTCTACAGTTAGGGTGAAGGCCAGCCCTCAGGTTTACAGCAGGGTTACCTTGTATTAGCTTCACCTGGAAGCACAGGCCTTCAATATTTCTAAAAAGGAAATTTTGGAAAGATTATAACCAATAGATCCGGTATCTCTGCAACTACCTGTTTTAATAGTCTAGAATGCAGGCTATCAGGTCCAAGAGACTTTATCTGTCATTCATCCCGTTTGTTTGCTGAACAGTTTTTCAGAGGTGATCATGTTGTGTTAAGTTTCTCTCTCCATTTTGCCACTTGATATTCAACTAATCTTTAGATGCTTCCTGTGTCTTCTGCTGTAAAGACAGAGTCAAAATGATGCATTACAATGTTGTGAAATCCCTCAAATGGGCAGCATGGTGGCTCTGTGTTTAGCACTGCTGCCTCACAATGCCAGGAATCCAGGTTCAATTCCACCCTAAGGCAACTGTCTGTGTGCAGTTTGCACGTTCCCCTCATGTCTGCATGGATTTCTTCTGGGTGCTCTGGTTTCTTTCCCACAGTCCAAAGATGTGCAGGTTAAGTGGATTGGCCATGCTAAATTGCCCATAGTGTCCAGGGATGTGTAGGTCAGGTGGATTAGCCATGGGGAATGCAGGATTGTGGTGATTGGGTGGGATGGTCTTCGAAGGGTCGATGTGGACTCAATGGGCTGAATGACATGCTACCATACTGTAGTGATTTCATGGTACATATTAAGCAGAGAGTTCCACAAGTTTTTTTTAATTGTAGCTTCAATTTTGTGCTTCCAGCAAACTGTGGTTGTGAATGATTGACTGTCAAGTCAAAACAAGCTGACTGCACCATAAACTGATGTTCATCATTCTGCAGGCCAGGTCATTTGATTAACTAACATCGACTTGCAGTTTAGCTTTGACCTTCAGCTGAGTATTAGCCTTGGTGCCAATTAGAAAATGTAGCAAGTGTCTGAATCTTAAAGTGATAGGTATACCGAAAAGTAAGTGGCTTCATGTGGTGATAAATACTATATTAGCCGTTATAATTTTGAAAATGGTTGTGAAATATTTGTCAGTCTTGCCAGAGAAAAATGGACCAGGGTTGCTTCATTTTGGCAGCTACAAGGATATCTGGACTATCTGGTATAGCAGTGCCCTTCAAGTCCATGTGAAAAGCCATCTCTGCTCCATGGTACGTACAGATCACCTTGGGATACATGAGAGCTGGAGAGGATAGCGTTAGGTCTCAGGGTAACAGTTGTTGGCTGAGACTTTCATCAGCTGCTGGGCTGACACAAGGAGATGAAATGGATAATAAAAACTGAAAGAACTGCAGATGCTGTAAATCAGGAACAAAAACAATGTAGCTGGAAAAGCTCAGCAGGTCTGGCAGCATCTGTGATGAAAAATCAAGAGTTAACGTTTCGGGTCCGATGACCCGAGGAAGGGTCACCAGATGAAATGGACAATTCCACAGAGGTGGATGTGAGCCATCTTTCACAGTCAGGATGTAAAGAAGTTAATTTGCAGATCAAACATTACCGCAGGTTGTAAATATTCTGTTTCAGCCTGACACAGCAGCCTGGGATAAGGTTGGAATTGCTGCCAAGGGAATGGAGTTCATGGCAGTGAGCAACGCCAGTTTTCGGGCATTTTGCTGCATTGATTTGGGGAAAATTGGGATCTATCCAATGCTCAATGTTGGAGAACTGATTGAGAACCCTGAGGCTGTGGAGAGATTGAAAAAGGTGGTGGTCAGTTAGGAGCTATGTTGTATTACAGCTTATTATTGCAGGAATGCCTCATTAGCAAAAAAACTAAACAGGAAAGAAAATCTTCCAGGATCAGTGAGCTCTGAAGATTCAAGGATGATAGTCATAGTTAACAATTGTCCCTGTAATTATGCTTGTATCAGAATCTCTGAGAAGGGAGATCCGATCTCATTAGAATTGGTCACTTCTCGTTTCCCTCTTGCACATGACTGCATTTCTATTCTGTCATATGTTACTCCTTGTTATGCAACTTGCAAAACCTAAGAGTGCAGAAAATGATCTTCTCTGAAATGATATCTTCCTAGGAGGAGCTAGTGCTGAACAACTCAGATTGTTAAAATAGAAAAGCAGACAGATGTATTGTGGTTCAACCGCTGGGGGTTTTGACCCTAAACCTGAAGCAGTATTACATATCCTCT